ATCAAAAAGTTTAGTAGCAAATTATGAATTGACAATGATAAGTATTGAACAGTAAATAATAAGAAATGTATTGATAATAACAAATTATTTGCAACACCTAACTTTTATATAGTAATAGGGTCATAATAATGCCTGTGAATCACAAACGCCAGGTTTTCGACCTGGAAAAAGACAGAAAAGTTTTTTTCCCCCTTCAATATTGGAATTCATCGATCAAAAATTTCAAACATTTAGAATAATTGAAGAGTGATCCACAATCAACCCTGCTTTCAATTTAATCTATTATCACCTAGAATGATTTCATACTGTGGAATGTCATAATAGTATATTAAAAATATAGCAACCATCTTAATTGACAGCACATACTTGCACCCAGCAATGCTCTCCTCCTTATAGAGGATACAAAATAATATTTCCATAAAGCAAGTAAAGTTATTTGCCCATATAACATATATAATAAAATAAATATTAATTTATCAAGATATTTTGCTATATTTTTACAAAATATAGCAGTCATCTCTGCTCTTCAACCAGTACACCTTCTTCTTATACAACTTCATTTACCTTAAAGCTGTGTCTTTGCTGTATATCATGGAATGAAGGGTGAGATTCTAAAAAATTCCTCTAGTAGTAATTTCTAGTAAACACAAATGCAGACTACATAAAGCATACAAAACAAGCCAAAGTGGAACATAACCTTGCAAGCTATGCATATAAAGCGTTTAAGTCCAATGACAAATAGTCAGATTGATGAACTGAATGAGCAATCAACGGCACATAAGGCTAGACATACAATGGCATGTAAGGCCTCACAAATAATGGCTCATAAGGCCCCATATGTTTCAGCTGCACGTGATCATGATTAAATAATCCATACAAGAAATTAAGAATTACATGTTCTCATGCTTTAGAAAAGCAATATGGCACAAACAGACATGCAGTAATCATACATAAATGTAAGGTAGGAAAGAACTACTACCTGAACCTTCTGCTTCAAAATTAAACCTTACTTTGTTCGTTTCTTTTAGCTTCCTCAGTGGGTTTTTGCAGATGTCAAAACCTATTATGTAGGTAAGGGTAGATCAATACTTGATCCAACTGCATCTCATAAATTAAATGACTCTTTAAATCCCAAATCTTCTTTAATCTCCACCCTTACATAGTAGTCGGTCATCCTGAACAATTTTCTTATGCGAACTATTTTCTTGGAAGGGTGTCCTTCCTTATCTCAACCCATACACTTACTTTACGTAGTAACTGGTCATCTTAGCCAAATATATTATCTTTAATTATAGCGATTAAGGGTAACGTCATGTTTCCAATGCCAATTTCAATTCCACTATTAAGTGGTTGGTATCACGGAAAAAGTAAAGATATATATACGCACACACACATTTATATACACTACTTTAATCCTCATTTAACTTTATTTGTCCAAAATAATTCTATAAGCTCTGTTAACTTTCATTAACAATTAACATAATACTTATCATTTAAATCCAAGCTAAGCAATTTTAATTTCCAATTAGCTATTGACGTTCTTAAACTTTGGTCTAGTATTCCTCCAACAATCTTTCTAGTAACTTCTATCATTTACCAATTTTAACCCATACCTTAGCCATTAACTGTTCTATTGAGAATTTTCCAAATACATACCTCTAAATAATTTCCAAACATAATGACTATCAATCAATCCATTTATAATTTCCATCCACCATTTGGAAACCTCAAACAAACCTCAACAATAAATTAAAATTTCAATCAATTCCTAACTTAATTTCTTTGATCCCCAAAACAGCCGCCAAGTATAATTCTAATTCCAGTCATTAAATCCCCAAAATCTACCATTGTTTTCATTCTATAACTATTAGTCTATTCCTTACTTTTCTTTAAAACCTTTTAAAATATTTAATCATACTTAACTACCTCAAGCATTTACACCAGTGTCCTTCTCCAAAATCCTAAAATTATTTTATACCCATACAAATGTTGAAATCAATTTTTAAATGTTTTTACTTCAAATCTGGAAATTTTCCTGATTTCCAACACATACCAAAGGCTAATACTTAACAATGCTTGATCACTTTAAAACACTTAAGTTTTTCTACTTAAACCCGCCTCTAAAAAAATATATTTCCTATTTAACGTTCTGATTGTAAAAACATACAACAAACCTCTCGGTCAACACCCAAATACTCATACTTACTTTCACAATCACCATTTCTTAATTAATCCTTCCCATAGTTTATTCACACTTGCTTCAAACTCGTTTACAATCCTTTAATTATCTATTTGCTTTTGTTATACCTTACACAGCCCCATTTAAAATCTAGAATTTTCCATATTCAAAATACATTTCTAGAAGCAGCCTCAATAATCACAAAAGCAAAATAAATACCATCCAAGCTTATATACATTATATATCCTCTTCTCAATAACCAGTGAACCCGAAACCATTTAACTATGCAATTTCTGTTCCTACAAACATGACCGAGACGCACATATACAAATATATATATAACACATTTATCTAAAACGTGTTTTGCTCTTTCTAGTCCTATAAATGGAACCGCTCATCTCTTACTCATATAGTATTCTTCTACCCATTAAACTATGTTCTCAAGCTTGTTTATGCTTTCGACTAACACTCAGCATAACCAAACCGAAATCTTTCTCATTACAAGCACAAATCTGATTCTATCTTCATGAGCTATATAATCTCTGTTTCAGTCAAATCAAAACAGAGTAAAAATCCCACATGCAAACCATTCAACACACTCCATCAACACAACCCATTTTCATCTTAAACCAGCGACCCAAACAGAGGAAAACAACACATGCAACCAGTCACACAAGCAACCCACTTCACGCTTATACTTCTCATTTCTTGCCTTCATCTACGGAAGCCGACACACACCCAAAGCTTAGAAACACAGCACACACAAGCACCTTCAGGATCCCGCGGCGCATGCATATATCTATATCTACATGTGAGATATTTATTATTAATATATAACTATTTAGATATTATTAGGATAATTAATAAATATTTCTGAGTGTGGCCCTTAGTCATTTTGTGCCCATCTTAAGATGAGTAATTGATTCAGTTAATTAAAATTAATTTTCTGATAGTGAAAAATAACATACGGTATATTGAGTCAGGAGTGAAACCCTAATCTCTTTGCTCATTTTCTGAAGGTTCCTCACTGGTAACGGCTACATTTTGCCTAATCACCAGTTAGAAGATTCCCTGCATTCTTTCTCTAACGGGGTTCTTCAATTTTCAGTTTCTTATTATTCAGATCGAGTTCTATATCAAATCAGCTGAGCTAATGGCAATATATGTTGTTTTGCTTACAATATATATATATATATAAGAAACGTCATTCTCCTCCCTTTAACCTCTGTTTCAGTCCACAAAAACAGAGACGAAGAGGGAAACCTTCAGACCGAAAGAGACGCATGAAATTTTCGGACTGACATGCAGTCTTCAACCCAACATGCAAGATCAAAAACCAGTATCAAATACCTCAATCTAGCTATAGGACACGAACCCATCGGTCTTCCTCTTCGTTTCTTCACTTTCTCTCACTAAAACGCATCTCTCTCTCTTCCATCACAGCCCAGAACACGCAGATAACGGAAAGGAAAATAGCGGAAGATTGATCAGGAGGCTCACCTTGCAAGGTTAATCGGTTTGCATGTGACCCAAGCACCTCCAATCACTACCTTTGCCTTCAGCCTCCTCCGTCGCCGTCTCTGTTGTCTTAACTCTCCTCGTACTCGCTCTCTATTTACCACGGGACGCAGAAATGAAATGAAAGAGGTGCATGAGTTGCACTAAAAAAAAAAGAGAGGTGCATGAGTGATCTGATGATTAAAAGGGCAAGGTACACGTGTGAGGGGTGTGTGTGGAGTGAAAATAACTCATTTCCAATCTCATCCATCTCCTATTTTCTGAAGTGATGAATACTTCCCTAATTTAATTCATAAAGAGTAATTCGAAATTCCCTTATTCAATAGCTTATTTGACCCTTAAATTAATTCCCATAAAAATTTAGGGATCAAAATCCTATTCTAACTATTTTTCTTCACTTGTCTAAGAAAATAGCCATTTATTTCAAACATTAATCCTTAAATCATTTTAAGGATTTTATGCCTCAATTACCTTCTTTACCATCACAACTAGTTATTCTAAAATTTTAAGATTAAATACAAATCTCTACATATTTTTCTATAATTCTCTGAGAAAATGAACCATTTTTCTCTTAAAATTATCTATTAAAATTATTTAAACTATTGTTGGAAAAATAACTTTTCCAAAATATCTCTAAACCCTAGAATCAATATTGCATGCTTTTCCCCAACTTTATTTGGCTATTAAATAATTTTAATGAATTTTTTTTTTATTCATCCTAAGTCAAAAAATTCGGGATGTTACATTATTTATTAATTAGTTGTTAAATAGCAATGACAAGCGTTGAATAGTCAATATAACAATAAATATACTATTGACAAGTTTAATAATTTTTTTAAAATATGATATAAGGTATTTTAATGATTTTTAACTTTTGAGTGTCTGAATTGAGAAACTATAATTTCAAGATTTTTTTTTCCTGAAATTTTTCCTATTTTTGGGGCCCAAATCTGAATAACTATTTAATTTAAAGTGGTTATTGGAAAATATTAAAATAATTATTTAAATTCGCTGGCATGTTAATGCCCATCACAATCCATGTTTGTCGTTTGGAAACCCTCCCTCGCTTTCTCGCATCCATTCATCGGAATCCCCGTATTCAGCTTACTTCGATCTTCCCTGCTGATACTTTCACTTCCGCTACAAGAAATTTTTGAGTCCTGCTGTAAGTATTTTAGCATATTTTACTTTTTCAATGCAGTTTGAAGCGTCTGATTCGAGTGTTTTTAGTGTTTTGGTGGCCAAGTGTTTTTCAGATTATGAATCTGATGGATAAGTTGTGCATTCTCAATTTGTAGATATAATGGATATGGAGGAGGAGAATAGAGAAGCTGAGACGTCTAGAGTGAGGGTATTTGTCGGAGGCTTGGGAGTAGGCGTGACATCTGATGATCTCCGGAGGTTGTTTGGGTCTCTGGGTGGTGTTGACAGAGTTGACATAATCAGAACCAAAGGTCGAAGCTTTGCTTATGTTGACTTCATGCCCTCTCCCACGGACCAAAAATGTCTTTCCAAGCTTTTCAGCAGGGTAATGATTCGAAACTGCCGTAAATACCAAAGCATATGCTTTTTGGGAACGAGTTGAAAATAACCATCATCTCTATAATTGTTTCACTATTATGTCTTGTCGTTATTTTCTGCATTCTCTCGCACAGACTTGATCAAAACCTCTCTTTCACTATTTTATATGTTCTGCTGGCAAGGTCTGTGTGCGTGCATGCGTGTTTCGGGTTCATTCTTGTTTATGAATGTAATGTTTTTATACTTTAACGTGGTCCGACATTTTCCTGGGTTTTGGAAAGGGGGAGTGGTTTAAAATTTTACCCTGTCCTGATATTTTGTTGACCAAACGATGTATATGTTTTATAAAAACTCTGATTAGTATCCAAGAAAATTCACACGAATGAAAGATACAAGAAAAATTGAGAAAGTGAATTAAAATCAGAGGGTATCTTTATTAGTCTTTTGCACGATGGATGAAATTAATATATGCTGAGCCATTTTTTGGAGAAGTTGGATAGAGTGGCACTCCAAATGGTATTGCAGGAATCTCTTCATAATCTTTGGAAAATAATGGATGATTTCAGAAAATTCATGCATTCAATTCATGCTTGTTGAGTACTAGACAACTAAATTTTTTTCACTTGAAAGATTTTGTCTTCACAAAAAGTTATTAAGTTCCACTTAAAGTGATCAAGGATTAAGTTTGGTTTAGGAACTAGCAATGCCTTCATAAATTCTTGAAATTAATGTAATTTCAAGGAAGTAGAGCTGGAACTCCGGATTGTATTTGTGGAATGTTGCTGTGCATAAAAATCTTAAATCAGTGTCAAAGGTCTTAAAGCATTATTTTTTGTCCCGTAGACAATCATATTGAGATAGGCATATCAAGGAGGTGCCAGTAATGATAAGCTAGTGTAAACGGCCTGTTAGGTGTGGAGTCATGCAAGAACTTTTGGGTTTGAACTTTTTAGAATGAATATCAGAACTTGCTTTCTCTGTTATAGAGTTTGGTTTTTGCTTTAGCTATTATAGCTTTTGATAACATGAATGTTGTCTTCCCTTAGATCCTGTTCAGGTCATTTATCCTTGCTCTCTGTTTTACTATCTCCATTTTCTTTGCTTCTTAGGAAAACATTTTGATGTGCTTATTTATCAGCTTGGCAATTCTTTGGGTTTTTTACATGTTTATGTTGGATATGTGTTTTTAATTTTATGTTGATATATTTTCTTACCTGCATGTTTATTATACTTTTTTGTTGTGCACAGTATAATGGATGTCTCTGGAAGGGTGGAAAGCTAAAGCTGGAGAAGGCTAAAGAACATTATCTTGTACGTTTGAAACAAGAGTGGGAAGAAGATGCTAAGCTTGCTAGTGATGAACCTAGCGCCAGTCCTGATCCTGATGAAAGCGTTTCCTTAAAAGAAATGCCTAGCAAAGAGAGTCTAAAGACAAAGAAGCTACGGATTTTCTTTCCCAAATTGAGAAAGGTGAGTTAAAATTTGGAAGATGTTCCTTGTATGGACTTCTTAGAGATCTTCATTTTCATTTAGGGGGGTTGACAGGAGCTGCAGTATAGACATATTTTCTCTATTCTTTACCTCCTATACAGGCGTTACTTTGTGTATTCATACCAGCGGCTGCAATTAGTAATATGTTATTATTGTAAATCTCAAACTAAGCTCCAAACTACGTCAGTTTCATATCCAATGCAGTGTCAGGCAAATGGTTTGACTATACTTAATGGGACATGTCAGGCTCATGCTTGGTAAACTGTAGCGGGGCTTCAGATGATAAATGTTTTATAATGAATGTGATTTGTCAATTATTCTAAGAATTGTCATATCCCCCAGTATATAAATGCTTCCTCTATCTAGTGCTGCATCATGATTCTAATTTCACCTAATTGTGCAGGTGAAATCCATACCATTCACTGGAACTGGCAAGCACAAATATAGTTTCCCCAAAGTTGAAGTTCCTCCTCTCCCAGTGCATTTTTGTGACTGTGAGGAACATTCTAGTCTTTCTGACACTGTAAGACCAAAGCAATTTCAAAATGGGGATGCAGAAAGTGGTGGCATGAATGATGAAGAAATTAACATAATGAACGTTGTGATGAATAAACTATTTGAAAGGGAAAAGGCATCAAGTCCCATGCATTTTGAAAAGGAACGGAACTCAAATGTGTCCACTGATGGTTTACAATCTGATGAATCTGAAGCAGATAGTGCAACCGATGATGATGGTCTCATCATTAACATGGTTACCAAGAAAAAGGAAACAGCTGTAATAGGTAGCCTGGAAGTTGAAAGATTACTAGGAAATGAGGTTAGTTTATGTCTGGATGGTACTGTTCCATTATAGGTATATTTCTGTTTTATCTAAATTGTTATCCTGGATTTTCAGGAATCAGAATTGAATGACGCAAAAATTTCAAAGGATGAACCAAACAAGAACAGGCTTGAGGTGCAGAAATGCAATAATATTGCTCCTGACAAGAAGAGAAAGCCCCATCATGATTTTGAAGGGAAAAGAAATGGGTCTACCTCTGCTGCCTCTGAAGGCAAGAGACGAATGCACAAACATCCCAATGAGATGAGTTCACTGGTGCGCAGCCCTGAAATAGCTGGTTTTGGTGAACCAACTAAAGTTTCGTGGTCTCAGAAATCTTCATGGAGAGAACTTCTTGGTGATGGAAAGAGCAGTTCTTTCAATGCCTCCCATATGCTGCTAGACTCTAATTCTAGTGGAAAGCAAGGATCTCATGGTGACTGTGAACCTCAATCAGCAGAGAATAAAACTGAGCACATTGTAACGGTGGGAGGCCAGGAGACTGAACCTGCCAAGCCAGAAGTAATGGAAGAACATGCTGAAGCACGGCCTACCATACAAAATGCCACATCGAAACAGTCAGGAAGAGGTGTTGCATGGAAGCAAAAGCAATCTTGGACGCAACTGGTTGGTCAGAATAACAATCCATTCAGCATATCTCAGATTTTGCCTGGAATCTCTTCTCAGAAGCCAGTGGCGAAAGAGCCTGCTGATGACCTCGCTGGTTCCGGTGACAGCACATATATTGATTTAGCTATGGAATCTAACAGTGAATCTGCTGGGGACGGCTTGAACTTGGTGAAGACTAGCCCGGAAAAGAAGCATAATGTTTTGGCTGAGCATGCTGCCATTGTATCCGTTGGGGATGAGTTGAACATGACCAGGAGTACCCCGAAAAAGAGTCAACATGTTGCTGGCAATGATATCTCTCCTGCTCCTATAACTGAGGAAAAATGTAACACACACACAAATGAAACATCCACTACAGAGGTTAAAATAGGTGAGACATGCTCATTTATGAGGAGTGCTGCTTCGTTGAAAGAGTGGGCAAAAACCAAGGCTGCTCTGAGTGGATCACTCAAAAAGAAACGTGGGCAGAAGAAGGAGCATTAAGTCCTTTACTGCTGAAATCATAACTGCGGTTGGGTTGTGATGAACTGCAAAACTTGGGTAACATTCCAAATATTCACTGTTAGGTTCTCCGATGAAAGTAGTACATGTGGATTTTATTTTATTTAAAATCAGTTACACTATTGACTCGCCATTTTTTTTTTCATGTGTCATTTTTTAACTGAAGAATGCTGCGACAAATATATAAAAACCAGAGTTTCCCCTCACGTTTTGCATGGGTTGACTCTTGGATATTGTTGTTTGTATCATATTATTCTATTAAAGAGACATTCTGATTAATAACATATCTAAAGACTTGGTTGTTGATAGAGAACAATGGTGTTGTACAATTCATATAGCCAATCCTCCTCAATGGGATAAAATTTGTTGTTGTTGTTGTATTTCATTTTTAAAGAAAAGCATAATAGAATAAACTTCCATGGTAGTCAAAAGATGTAAATTCTATCAATTTAATTTCAGAATTCTTGTTATCATCAATATAGTCTTGATGCTTTTAAAAACACATTAGTTTTGGCCTTGAATTTGGTTTGACTAAGCTGGACGTCATGAAGAACAAATTGGCAAATTGAATTCCTGAGGAGAAATGTAATATAATGATATTTCATGTATTTTGTGTTATGTCCCAGATGCAATTTGAGTAGAGAAATTCTTGGGTTTTTCCCCTTTGGGAATACGGATCAAATAAGGATTACAAAAGACGGGGAATCATCCCCATGGAAGTCTCAAAATTGAGGGGGAAATTCATAGTTCAAAAATTACAGAATAATAAAAATTTCAAGAATAATGATAGTACGAATATCCGAACAAGAGACGCAGAAAAACGAGAGACCCAGAAGAAAATAGTCTTGTCGTTCAACTGGAAGCAAAATACAAGTGTATAAAATTCAGAGAACATCAAGGCTGCTTCTTCGAATTCATCAGAAAACGAAGTTTGCGAAATTTGACCGTCCTCTCGTGGATATTTCCCGAAGAAAAAAGTTACTACCTCTTGTCTCTTGATATAATATAAAAACTAAATAACTAATTTAGAAATATTAAAAAAAATTAATTATTTAATGAACATGTGTTAACTTTTCTAAACTAACTTCTTTAATCTTTTTAATTATGCGTATTGGATATACTTCTTGGTAGGAATTTCTTGATATGCACAATCAATAGTGATATTTTAGGGAGGGGGAATTATAAATTTAAACAAATTAAGGTATCATATTTACAATCAAATTTAACTCTAAACTAACTCTTATATTAAAAAGTAGAGAAAATATATTATTTCAGCATACAAATATGATTGAACATATGATCTGTTACACAAATCTGTGCACGCCAATGATACATGCAGATATTCACCGGGACAGTTAAAACGTTCTTGGGGAAATGAAAATTTCTGAACCCTTACCACTTAAGTTCATTTTGAGTCCTAAATTTATCTCCTCGAGAACATTATGTAAAAGCGCAAAGCAAATCGTTACTAAGACAGGAACTCAGAATGCGAATAGCAATCATAGACCACATTCTCATTGAATTTTCCATTAAAGATTATACTAGAATTGCTGCCGTTTTCATTGACAGTATTCCTATAATCAAATTCAGTAGACAAACAAGCCACTAGGGTTTAGTTTAGTGGCGAGGGGTGAGAAAAGTAGCAAGTTCAAAACTTTGCTCCTTCATGTGACCAAGAAATTCAGTACAAGTTCAATGACTCAAGCACCCTGCGAGCTTGGATCTGTAGAGCTGTAAGTCTCTGTTCCGGATCCAGCGTTGACCCAAACTGACTTGCTGCCCAAATCAAGGAAGCTGATTTCTCCCCAAGCAGGTGCCTTATATCTTCATGTACTGATGCCAAAGGAGCCCTGTCCCTTCCATTGACATGTCCAATGAGAAGCAACAAAAACTCCCCACATCTCAACCTGCGGAATGAAATTTCCCCATTAATGCAATTTGAGTTGCACCAAAATAGTGGAGACTCAGCATGAAAAACAAGATACTAACATTATTCAGGAATAAGAATACCCAAAATAAAAAAATATTTTACACTTATAGTCTCCTTCCCAAGCATAAATATGCAGAACCAGATTTAGAAACCGAATCATGATTTACCACAACTCATAGGTAGTCTTTGAATAAAAGTGGCAAGAAGACACATACACACAACAAGTCTTATCCCCCTAGTTTAGTTTTATGAATCACACAATGTCATTGTTCTCTATCAACAATCAAATTTTTAGATAGACTGGTAACTTAAAAATCTCATCCAATGACTTCATTAAGCGTTCTCTTTAGTCTTCCTCATGTTCAAAGTATATTATATTGTTTAATCTATCCTCCTTATCGACACCTCCAACAGCTTCTTTGTACATGGTTTTTTTTTTTTTTTGGGGGGGGGGGGGGCCAAAGCTTCCCTGTACATGTTGAAACCATTATTTTCTACCAATTTCTCTTTAATAGTGCCATGCCTACTCCTCTTTTAATATGATCATTTCAAATCCCATCTTCTCTTATATGACCATATATCTATCTCAACATCCTCATCTATAATATCCCAACTTTATGTTCTTGTTGGCCCTTCAGAGTCCAACATTCACTATCATATATCATTACTGGTCTTATACCAGTTCAGTAAAACTTTCCTTTAAGCTTATTAAGATAACTCCAGCAGCCTTTTTCCACTTAAACCACCCAGCTTGTATTCTGTGTATATGTGTAATGAAAATTTAAAACCAACCATTCAGGGGAAGTGTGCATGGGTTGAAATTCACGTTTACAAAAGAATTACCCCCAGTACTAATGCTGAGCAACAAAAGACAAGACATAATACATCTGGTCATTTCCATAAAGTTGAAAAAAGCATCACATATGTACATGTTTTGGAAAGTAAATATGATATTTTCATCCAACGTTACAGGCAAAATAAATTGGAAGGTAAGCTAATACAGAGTAAAAGGATGTACGAATAGCAATTTCCAGACCAGGGAGCCCAAATATAAATAATTATCAATATGTGACCATTTGGCATGTTGCACAGTGAATTCCACACTAGAAATCATTCAAAAGCACGAATAGGAGTGAGACTGGTTGCAGAAGAACAGTACCTGAGATTTTCATCCGCTTGTTTGTCTCGTATGAGGTCTGCAACTTCCATAATACCATTACATTTCTCAAAATCCTAATAAATCATAAACAAGAAGATGCAACTTTTAGAGGTGACAGAGCGAGAATGTTCGTTGCAGCAAACCTTAGACAAACTCTCAGCTAAGCATCAGGATGAAAGGTTTTCTGACATTTATTGGTAAGTCTTAAAGTTAAGCCAATAACTCATCATTTTAGCTTCAAAATGAAACCTCAGAAAAAATAAGATCATTTTTCTTGAGTGTTTGGTATGCAAAAATTTTGATATATAAAGATTTTGGAAAACTGAAACATGGGGATGAATTCCTATATATTTGAGCCGATATCTTGTATCTGAAATCCATGACACATAGGAATTAGAACTTGCTAGCTAAATTCCTTGGTGAATCTCTAGCAAACACTAGCATTCAGGTGTTTTGAACAACGATAAGATTAGTCCACACATTCAACTGATGCCAAGATGAGAGTTCTACCATTTGATTGGGTGGTGAATCCACCATTATAGAGATTAGAGCGTCCAAACATGCTCCTTGCTCAAGTACCCCCCGAGTCGATAATATATTCATCAAAACCTGCAAAGGTAAAAGAAATTTGATTCCCTCTGGCTATGCATTTAGTCAACGTGCAATGTCCGGCTCTGTATGAATATCATTTACATTGCCTGCTATATGGGATAGATTATTTGCGTCCTTCTCTTTGGGTTTCCAATCAACAACTCAAAGGAGACTCCTTGTTCAAAATAATTGGAGGGTTTTAATGTTTTGATTTTACATCATTTGTTCATGTATGCTTTGTTAGTTATAATATTGTTTAAAGATCAAGGAGAATAATCTGTCCGCTAAGTTATTCTATGCTGAGAATCAAATATTCCTCAAGATTTGTGAATATTCAAAGCATAAACGTGCCACTTAATCTTTAACAACAATTCTATGAATAGTAACTTTAATAGAAGGTGAAATGTTAGATAAAGTATTTGTAAGGTTGTATGACATAATCTTGCGTCTGTGTTTGTTGCTCCGCATTTGAGCATATTCTATATTCAGCTAAATTCTGTTTTCGGTGGAATAATTTCAGCAGCTTCTGCATTGCAGTGACAACTCAAATTCATAATAAGTACCATAACAAGCCTTCTTGTCACGGATGAAAAAAGTAATGGAAATAAGAAAACATGCTTCCAGTTCCATATCTTTTCTTTCCCAACAGAAATGTTAAAAGCTACCACATAGAAAATTACATTCGTACCTGAATTGCGTTGTGTTGATGGGCAAGGGCGGTGCTCTGGGGGTGAAGCAAACAACAACCTTCTAATACTCGAAGTGCCAATGCAACTTCTGCATCAGTTGATGGACTTGTTATCTTCATTGGTTCCACACCAAATATATGATTCAAATTTGCCACCCTATCATCATTGTAGTCATCTCCTGTCTCTTTTAGAGAATGTTGAAAGAGCACTGGAACAACTGTCGATGCAACCAGCCGAAATTCAAAACCAAACAGACTAAAACAAGCAATCTCCCAACAACACAACTTACATACCTTGAAGTTCGGGAATAGATTGGGTTTGATTAAAGAGGTCAATAGTTGCATCAGATTCAGCCACATTACGGAGGAACTTGAGAATAGAACGGAGTCCACGGACCCGAAGAAATGAGAACTCAGCACAAGCATCTCTGAGACCTGTTCTAAGAACAAGAGTTACTTCCCTGTATACTCTCTGTTGGTTAAGAGAGTTCACCAGCTCCCCCACTGCCGTAGAGGCCAGTGAATCTCCATCTGACTCCGTTGATTCTCCTTTCCCTTCTTGAAATTTTTCACTCCACAACGGCTTCTTCAAATACATCCCTATTATTTTCCCCCAATTTCGCCCAATTCATCCACTTTATCGGCCTAATTCCACCAAGGAGACTGCAACAATTTCTTCAAGCTAGTAACAAACGAATCCCAGTTATCTTCGTATCCTCATGTATTCAAATTGTTCCAATTTTTCATCATTGAATAATCAAATTATTCCAACTAACTAATTGAGCAACACAGTAAAGACATTGATAACTTGTCGAAACTGATGGGCACAAAATGGGATTACGTTACGATACACTGCATTCCTATAGAAATCTCACATAAGCACATGCCATCAGTTGCAGTTCCCAATACACCCGATGGAGATTGTTCAAAATTAGGGATTCTGAAAATCGCATGAGATTCAAAAGATAATAAAAGAAACAGTGCAGAGTGAGAGAGATCGAAGAAGAAGATAAGAAGAAGGATTCTGATTCACCTCTAGATAGGCAAAGAAGACCGTGTCTTCGTCGCGTTATGCAGCTTTGCCACCACCGGCTTACATCATTTCCTTTTCATAACGGTATGGGTGATTGTCTGAATATATGTTATACATACCCCAAATCCACAATTTGTCACTTCTAAGTTGTAATTATCTCACGAAATCTTAAAAAGAAAAAAATAATTATTTAGTCACATTATTATATTTGTGATATGAATATATGATTTTACTTTTTATTTATTATTATAAATTATTATTTTTTAAAATACGAGTATATACTACCTCCAATCTTAATTATAAAAATAATATTGGGAAGTTATTAAATTTTAAAATAGTTATTAGGTGACTTTGTTTCTAATCGCTCCATGTTAAAAAAAGAAAAAAGTATCAAATTCACGGATATAAGCCATTTGAAAAAATATGACCCAACCATTCGATTGATTTGATAAATATATCTATTACATGGTGACATGTCTGAGTATAATCAATTTGTAATAGTTGACAAAGTTGTCTACGTAAATACTATTTCTGGTTTTTAATATAAAAACTAGTTAATAATTAAATTCAGTCCTAAATATAATATCTTAATTTTTTTTTGTCTACTAAATTTATAATTTATTTTTAAAATATCCTTATTAATTATAAATATCAAGGAGAATTCCATCTAATAGTAGTGATAATGCTTTGAGAAAACCAACTCATAATTGTTACAAATAACTAACTTAAATAATTTTTTTAATTTATCTAAATTAATTAAATAGCTTTTAAATTTAGTCTGTTTGGATTCACTTAAAAATGACTTATAAGCTCCTTATGGATCAAAAACCAGATTAAACAATTTTTGCTGTGTTTGGTTTCAGTTTTGGCTCATTTTACTTTTGAGGCAAAATAACTTATTTTTCCCAATTGGCACAAGCTAATAGAAGCCACTTTTGACCTCTAAAATTGTGCTTATTGGCTTAGAAAAGAGAGAGCGAGCAAAAGGGTGATGGAGAACGTCTGAAGGGAAAGAAAACTAACATGGGAAAATGAAATTGAAAAAAAAAAAAAAAGAAACGAAAAAAGGAATCTGATAAAAAAGTTTTTTGCTGAGAATTATTTTTTTAATCTCATATAATCGTGTTGCTTATGAATTATAAAACGTCTTAAATTAATCAAACTCTTTTAATTAATGCTTTTTATTATTAAGAATAGTTTTAATTTTAATATTTTACAATAAATAATGTCTAACTCGTTAAAGTTATTTTTCATTTTATATTTACATAAATAATTTCTTATAATATTTCTAATCTTTTTTAAATATACATCATTCATTAAATAGAAAAATACCTAAAACTTATTTTTGATTTATGCAAAAATAGCTTTTTAAAATTAAAAGACATTTATATATCTATATTTATGTTGTTTTTATACTTCTCTCTATATACTCCTTATACTTCCTAATTAGTTTTTATTTATTTATTTTTAATATTATATTTTATTTTGTATTTACATAAATTGATAGAGTATACTGTCCAATTGCTCATGTAATATTTACTTCAAAAATTTTACGTTATTATGATTTTTAATTTAAATATATTTTATTCATTAAATATAACTTCTTATTATAATAATTTAAAATTATTATATTTTATAAATTCATTTTTTCAATCATTTTTCATTATTTAATAAAAATTATACTCATTTTGATTATTCTACAAACTAAACTAATTTATTCAATCATAATTCAAACAACATTTTGATTTTACAAATAACTTTTATAAAGTCAATTCAAACATAAATCACATTACACAGTTTAATTTTTACCTCAATCTCACTTTTCTAAAAATTATATTAAAAATAAGTTACTTTTTTTAAAACCCATTAAGGAATTGAGGTAATGCCAAATTTCTCGCCAACAAAATATTTATGAACATTTACCAAGCAATTCTTTTCTTTTCTTTTCTTTTGCCAACGGAATTACGAACCAATTCCTTAAACCATTCTGATTCTCTTTTTTTTTTTTTTTTGGGCCAACATTCTGATTCTCCAATTAAATACTCCCTCCTTGCGCCTAGAGTAACCTAACCATACCGTACACTACCCTTTGTGAAGTTCATGAACCTGGCGATAAATTTGTCATCCTTGACATTTCAAATTTTCCTTCTCAATCCTGAAAAGCATAACCATCTTATCAGGAGCTAATGTTGCAATTTAAATCCTTTGCAACTTTGCTAATTGGCAACGAACTGAAAGCAAGTTTTGGGGTGAAAAATAACATTTCTGAAAGATCAGATCAACTTAAAGCTCTCATTTCAACACCGCCACTAACTTCGGATAGGGATACATCAGCAATCCTTACATCCTCGAGTGGTTCCAAGAAAGAAATGAAACGGAGTGGAGAATGGAATAAAAAAAACGATTTTTTTATAAAAGAAATGTCTCCTATATCCCCAAATAAAAATATATATATTTATATAGCTATTGTGAAGTATTGATAATGGGAACATAATAAAGATTGCATACCTTGAATTTGGTGCAATGGAATCCAACTTCATTTCCATCAAGTAGACAAAACGGGGCTATTCCTGAACAAGGAATGCCAATCATGTCATGTTTCTCCTAAGTCTTCAACCCAAGCATAGGGATTTACACACCACAAATTACTTGAAGGAAAAATGACCACCAAAAAAAAAAAAAACTGGAAATTACCGAATTTCAAATCTGGTTTGGTAACAACATTTTATTTGATGTTGACAACACTGAATTTGCAAATGACAGTAAGTTTTTGTTGACATTCCTTATTTGGCATTTAGTAATTTCCAACTTCTTTTTTTGTCATTTTTTCTTGAATAAGTAAGAATATCTGCCCAAACAATTTTCTCAGTGGTGCTCTATTCTAATTTCTGAACACTTTATGGGGGAACTCCCATTGTTCTTGGCTAAAAGAAGCAGACTCAGGTTGAGATTTCTTTTCACAGGCTGTCAGTTCAAACATATTAAGAAGATGCTGATACTCAATAAGAGAATTATAGTAAGTACTTTGTGACGGTTCAATCTCCTTACCTCAACACACAACGGTGACCCTTGATCTCAAGGATAACAGTGGCCTCCACAGGCGAACGTCTCCCTGCCAACCTCCCGGCTCTCCTTGTCTGTCTTGTAAAAGCGAAAATGGCCGCCAAATTCATTCATCGTTGAGTTGATCAACCAAGATATGATTCATATTGTTTACGAACTCCCAAATTTTGCATTGGGGTCACAGGGACTTGGTGATGCAATGCCACCAGAAACAAAATCATTTTTCCTTTGTAGCAGAAACATACAAGAGCTCTAGGATCACTGAAAGTGATTGTTACAGTTGATGCCAGATGATCATGACAGGACCAATAACAGCAAACCTGATAAAAAAATTTATCAGGTTTGCAAACAAATAAGCTAACACACGAGCAAACCTAATGAGCCTAATCAAGGAAGAGCAAACTTAATAAAAATGCAAGAACAACCAAACGGGACCAATATCTCATGGCACACTGGTTCAAAAAAGCCTCCACTATGCTGAGGCAAAAGTATCATCAAACAGCAATCAGGGGCGTTAAAATTTACAAAATAGCCATCACTTGTCAGACAAAGTAATCCTTAAATAAAACACAATCCATTCTAAATCCCATAAGCAATCACAATCTACAGTCCACCGTGAGACCCTTCCCTACACGACCCAGATAAGTGCATAATTACTGTTATGTGCTGCTCATCAAGTTTCCATTTCCTCAATCCAAAGTGTTTCGTATCATAACACACTTAATATAGGCTAAATGAACAAAGTTACCAATGATACAATCATCAGCAATAAATCAGTTCTTTTATATGGAGAACTTAACCAATAATAGAATAATTACTTCTTTTTTTTTCTTTTTTTTTGGTTCAACTGCAAGAAGGAAGGACGAATCAAGTGTTCCACCATTCGCATGTTTGCCCACGGACTGCATTTATGTAATTCTTAAGAAAACATGCAAATTCACCATTCAACCAGCAAAACTATTTAAGGGGAATGGCTGATAATGAAGGTTCAAAACATTTCATATTAAGCTCTAAGATTTTAATCTTAGAGAACTTTTTATCTAGAGAACTTCGCCAACGATACAGTCACTAGTTTAATCTTCTCTATGCCAACTGTGGGAAGGGAAGGACCAATCAAGTGCTCCACCATTCCCATGTTTGCCGACAAACCGCACTTTACCATGATGGTGAGGAAAAATTAAGCAAGATGTCAGAACTTGGACATCAATGGATTATGAAAATAATCTTTTCAAAATTTCTCCAAAAAAAACAATTGCTTCCACAGGTGAAGCTTATTAATTAATGGAAAGGCATCACGAAATATCAGTGAAGAAGGGCATTATCTTACCTGCTTGACCAGACAATTCCTGACTGTGCCCATCTCCCATCAGTCACTTCCAGTCTGTACGACAGATGTTTTATGTTGACTGGGGATCTCTTTGAGAAGCCAACGGATGTCCTGCTATAAAAGAAGAAAAATGTTAAATTGAATATGCCAAAATAATCAAATAAATAATCTGAAGGCTTGAATAGGCAGTGAAGCCAAGAGGAAAAATATGAACTTCTGTTTTACTAAGAACGTGATAAAATTATCAAGAGGAAGGAAAAATCACCATTAACTAATAGAACTGAACTAACTTGAAAATATTACCATCATCTATACACCCAATCCAGTACATTACTTACCCTAAACTTTTAGCATTCCTAATGTCAAATTTTCAAGATCAGCCCTAAGTTCCAATTTCAATCTTCTCAAGGAGTATAACCATGCATCCTATGGTAAATGACTATCAACCATAATCAGTTATCCTCTTTAAATTGATCTGCCGTCACAACCACAGACCAAACTCCCAAGAGAGTTATACAGCTCAAGAACTTCATTTGGACCATATTGATGTCAAGTACCAAACTCAAAGATTCTACAATTTAGTAATAAATATAAGATCGATTCTCCAAATGAAGGGGACAATTACTAGCAGATTTATGGAATTTCAAAACTTTCATATAGGCCTGCTGATATGCACCAATAGTTTAGAAAATTTAATAAGCAAGGAAAAAAGAAAAAGAAGAAATTAGGAGTTCTAAATTTTATAAATGACTTGTATGTGCAAAACAATAATATGTATCTACTAACAACAATGGGTTACAGATTTGAGCAGTGTTCGTCAATCTTTAAGTTGTGCTGCACCAAACTAGCAAACACTGGGCAAGAGAAAGGAGCATAACTTGAAGGCAAGCTAATAAGAGATATAACAGAGTTACATTTTCACTTAAGCTCTGAGTCTCTGACATTTTTTAATATGGAAAAACTACGTTCTAACTGCTGGCCATAACTTCATTTAATTCTTTCCACAAATCATAAGACATCTTTTTTTATTTTTTATCAAATTAAATTTGCCCCCGATAGATAAGGGTCTAGTTCAACTAAAGAGGAGTTTCATCAAGATACTTTTCAAAACTACAGAGCTTTCAGGCATCCATTTAATAAAATAAAAACTAAAGAAAGAAAGAAAACAGGAAAAAAATTCGAGCATGAAGCATATTTCTGCGATTAAAAATGCAAGCAGAATGTACTACTATTTGCAGATTTAAGGAAATTTTGCCAAAAACGTGTCTAAGAAGCTGTTTGGTACATTGTTATCCAACATTCTGCAGTATGTTGCATATCTTAGTATAAGGTATCAAGGGAATCTAAAATTTCAATATTTGGTATGATGATTGAAAATTGCCATAGAAAGGATACCATTAGTTAGGTACTTTATAAAAGTTAACAATGCTATGATGTCAGATCCCAATGATTTTTGTATGGTAAATACTATCCAAAATATGTCATCCTATGCAGTCACGGAATCTAGGATGATACCAGATAAGGCACCAAATACCAATATACCAAAGGCATCTTGGATGCAACCTAAAATCCAAAATACTAGAGTCGAGATGATAATGTATTAGATGCACCGTAATAATGTTTTGAAACTAAGAGGTTTTAGAAAGAGAGAGGGTGACGAACCATTTGACAAATGCTATCTGATAATTCAAGTGCTTCTTGCCACCTATCAACCCTAGTAAGGCCTTTGATGAGATGAACAAATGTGCTCAGCTCCGGAACAATATTCCTACTTATCATGGTTGCATATAGCTCAAATGCTTTATCGACCTTACTTGCCTGTGACAGACTCTCAATCAATGAGGCATATAAATGTCTACTGCCATCTTCAACAGTTGAAGACAAGGGAACTTCTTCTAGTAACTTTAAAGCAGCCTCTAGTCTATCAGCCTTGACAAAATTATCAATTAAAACTCTGTAAACAGGAAGCATAGGCACTGACTCATTCTCAGCCAACTCATTTAAAAGCCCAGTAGAGGTTATAAATTCTCTGCTAAAACCTTCGACAATTTTACAATAGCTTGAGATATGTTTTGGCCAATAAGTTTGATTCATTTCATCTAAAAGTCTGTGAGCCTCATCAAGAAGGCCAGCGGAACAACAATGATTTATCAAGACCCTGTAGGTTATAAAGTTTGGAGCACAACCTTTAGAGCACATATCTCTCAGTAGCTCAAGGCACATTTCAATTTTACCTAATTTCCCAAATCCATCAATCATGGCAGTATAAGTTACAACATTTGGATTGCAGCCTTTTTCTTGCATCTTAAGCAAGAGCTTGTAAGCCTCATCTGTCTTTCCAACTTTGCAGAGACCGTCTATCATCTCTGTGTAAATAACAACATTGGGAACACAAGAATTCTCCAGCATCTTGGACAAGACCTTCAAAACAAGATCCAATCTTTTCTCTTTAAACAGCACATCAATTAAAGAGCCGTAGGTATACAAATTTGGGCTGTATCCACGCTCTGACATCTTGGCAAACACCTCTTGGGCGTCCTCAAGCTTTCCAGCCTTGCAAAAGCCATCTATAAGAGCATCATACACTATATGATTAGGCTCACAACCTCGACCAGACATAGAATTCAAAAGTTCATGGGCCTCTTTGACCCGGTTTGCTTTGCACAGGCCATCCAACAAAGCCCCATATGTAACAACATTTGGTTTTTCACAGCTGTTGTCATTTGACCTGAAATAAATGTCCATATCTAAAGTTTCTATGTTACTTCTCATTCTGGCATAGATTTGGCATGCTTTTTCGATCTGCCCAGCCTTGCAAAGGCCATCAATTAAAGCCGTATAGGTAATAACATTGGGTTTGCATCCTTCTACCAACATCATCTCAAACAGTTCATTTGCATTGGACACCTTTCTGGCTTTTAGGTATGCATGAATAAGGGCAGTATAAGTCACCACATTAGGAGTGCAACCATTTCTGACCATTTCATCTAACCATTTACGAGCCTGTTCAATGAGACCAGCTTTGCAGAAGCTATCAATTAAAATTGTATAAGTGTAAACACTAGGAACAACACCATTTCTTTTCATCTCTTCAAACAACAAAAATGCCTTTTCCACCTTTGAGACATCACAAAGGAAACCAATCACTTTGGAGTATGTACTATCATCAGGAATGAAACCCTTGCTCATCATTTCAGACATAATCTTAAAAGCCTTATCAAATTTTCCAGCCCCACAGAGACACCGTGCAAAGTTGCTGACATTGATCTTATTCAAAACAACCCCTACATTAAGCATCTCAGAGTAAGCTTTTTCAGCCAATTCTAACATATCTGAGGATGGCAGTTCTTCATTGCCACATATAGCACCAATCAATATATTATAAACCAAATAGCCAGGCTGACACCCGCAGTTATTCATTTTCTTAAACAACTTATAGGCATAAGAGTAGTCCCTTGATTTGCAATAAGCATGTACTAGAGAATTAAATATTTCACGATTTGGGTAACAGCCTTCAGTAATCATCAAACTAAGAATTCTCTTGCATCTGCCCAGCTGTCCTTTCTTCAAACAGCCAGAAAGCAAGCTCCTATAAGTCACAACATTAGGAATGCATCCGTCAGAGCGCATTCTGTTTAAGATATCCATGGCTTCTTCGAAATGTGAAGCTTCACATAATCCAGAGATCATCCTATTATAAAATCCAGTATCAGGAACATATTCCTCCTTCTCTATCAATGTCAGAGCATCCCTTAACCTCCCCGCTTTGCAGAGGGAATAGGCAAAACAACTCAGAGTAAACCCATCCATATCAAATCCATAGTTGGACATCTCTTTGTAAACCAAATAAGCAGTGTCTAATTTTCCAGCTTTAAGGAAAACTTGAACCAAGGCGTTATAAGTTGTCCGTGAGGGCTTGTACCCATAATCCTTCAGTCTCCCCAGTTCTTCCAACGCCATGCTCCACAACCCATTACGGCAACACTTCCGTACCAGAACATCAAGCAACTTCCGGAGCACTTCGTTATCGTCGTCTTTTATTTCTCGTAAAAATTTTTCCTGAACTCTCTCGTTATCGTTACAACACAGTATATCCAGAAGAGCATCATACACTGCTTGTGTATGACTATAACCGATTTGACGACCCGCCCATAAGAAAAACTTAACACACAAGGCAGGATCCTTCACAAGATTCAAGACCTCCACAACTAAATTTTTGTTCAATTTCCCCCGAAACTGCCTGAGAAATTTCTGGGTTTCATAACCAAACCCATCACTTTGTCTCCTAATAGCATTCGACATCAGTACAGCCTCATCAGATAACTCACCAGAACAAACCCTTCGCGACGAATACCCGCATTCGGCACTCGAATCCAACAACCCATTGCGCAAAAAAGAGTATTCCTCAGCCAAATCAGTCGGAGGCCGAGAACTATCCTTTAAAAAATTGTCATCAGGATGAACCAACCCTTCAAGATTGTCCTCCGAAGAAGTGGCAACGGACCGAGCAATAGTAAATGGAAATTTGAACAAGTATGATGAAAGGGAGCAGTTAGCAGAGGATTTCAGAGAACGTAAAGATTGAGAGAGTAAAATCTTCAACTCTGTTTTGCTCATAATAATGTAACAAAATTTAAAACAAAAATGTATTCGTTGGAATTAGGTTTAGGAGACGGGTTCCGTCCCCGCGAAAGAATCAAACTTGACTTCCAGGCTGGGTGACGGACATAGAAGACAGAACAAAGCAAGCTCTAGGTGAAAAGGGCAGGGAAGGATGGGCAGGGCCATCGCTCGCTGACATGTTGTCATACGAGCCTTTTTAAGCCGATGGAATGGGACAAATGGAGGTGTATTTTTGCCTGGGGTTAATTTAAGTTTCAATTCATCTCATAAGTTTAGTTTGATATTCGATGGCAAAAAAAATTGATATTATTCTTTTTGGCCAAAAAATTTTGATATTATTCTTTCTTGGCCAAAAAATTTGATGCCATTCCTCTCGGCCAACAAAACTTGTAATTATTCTTATTGTTTGACAAAATTAATATTATTTTTCTAACTATTAAATTTAACAAACAATTTTGCCCCTTTTTTTTTTGTTTGCAAACTATTGTCTTTTTTAATACTTCCTTCAGTGTTTTTTTATGAGTGTTTTACTCAACTATTTTATGTAAACGTAAAAAATTAGTTAAAATTATTTTTTAATCTTTAAATATTCTTAATAAAATTTGGTTAATTAATTTGAAAATTTTATAGTCAACTAGAAATATCAGATAGAAACTAATATTTTAAACAAAAAAATTATATTATTAAACATGTGTGAGATTCTTCTAATAAAAACCGAAAGTTGTAACGTGTATTTTTTTATTCGGATGAAGGGTTTAGAGTGGATGAGGAGATATTTGGAGTTTTGGACCATAAAATTAGAATTTGGAGGGGAGGTAAAACAATTAATTCCCCTATTGTGAAGTCTTTACCGATGATAAATGATCTCTCAATGGGTCTACTATGATGACTATACTATATAACCTCCTACAAAGTCATTAAAAAAATGGTTAAATCATACAAAACTTTAAATTTTGGGTTATTTGCACATAATATCCATAACATTTTAAAATTTGAATTTAACCCTAACATTTTTTATTATTATTATGGATCCCTTGATGTTAGGTGATTGTTATCTTTTTGACAAAGTTGTCACATCTTATCAAAAGAAGACATGTGACATTATTCATGGCATTTCATTTAAGTTTATAATTTTCTAAAATTCCCTTAAACTTTTAGGTTAGTTACATAAAATCCCCTAAATGTTATAATATTAAATTTAAATTTTGAAATGTCAAGAAAGGAGTCATATATGACCAACCTAAAGGTTATGGAATTTTTATAAAATGAATAATTTACATAAGATGTCATGAAAGATGTCATGTGTTTTTTATTGATATCATATGATAATTTTTGTCAAAAAGATAATGGTAACTTAATCACAAGGGATCTATGGTAAAAAAAAAAAGTTATTAATGGGTTAAAGTCAAACTTTAAATGTCAGGGAGGTTACATATAACAAACTCAAAACTTAAGGAGGTTTTATATAATTTAACCTAAAAAGGATATAAAAAGGAGAGAAGAATTTCCATAGTTTTTTTTTTTTTTTTTGGCTACAAAGGAGGGCTAGCACTCAAAATAAATAATATTAGATCATGGGAAATCAGATCCTGAAGACTCGAAAACCAACATTCTCAACTATTGTGGACAGGCATTCAATAATAAAGTTCTTGATAGGCCCTCTTTAGCTAAAGCATCTGCAAGTTGATTTTGCTCCCTCTATATAGCTTGGAGTTTCAGGTCCCATGAATATTTGATTAAGCTCTGATCTAAATCTGAGCAAAGACCAAGCTGGTTCCCATGTAGCTGATTCTGTTCTTTACCATATTCACAAGATTTTTGGCATGTAATTCTAAAATTACCTTCTTCAAAACAAGATCCCAAGCCAATTATATCGTGGACAGAGCCCAAAGCACAAAAGCAACACAAGAAAGAAAACAAAACATACAGAAAAGGAGGGATCGATGGCCCGGAGCAACCCAAGTGAAGGAGCATAAGACTCATGTTAGATTCATGTTTTGATGATAACATAATCAAGAGAAGATTTGCTTTGCAGGCTAAATGGCTTGATTCTGATTAATAAACAATGACATAATGAATTTGAATTAAGTTATAGGAAGGGAATTCAGGCCAGAAATCCGAGTCATAAAGTTGTCTGTGATACAACTTTTTTTTTTTTTTTTTGGACAGAGTCTGTGATACAACTTACATAAACCAGAAGTTGATAACATTTCGTATGTTGAGATCACATCAAATAATTGAGTTATACTACCTCCAGTCCTAATTATAAGAGTCAGTTGACTAATTTGAGGAGATTAAGGAACTAAATTGAGTTAATTATTTGTCCTAAATAAATGTTGTCTTTCCTAAAATATCCTTGCTAATCAAGTGTGTTGACTACAACTATGATTATTAGAAGGGCTACTTTGGAAAAAAATGTATAAATATGAGAGATAAAGTAGATTGAGATCTTATATTTAGGACCAAAATAAAAGTCAAATGAGGTCTTATATTAAAGACCGGAGATAATATTTTATATGAGTCTGCTGTGAAACGTAACTTGCAATAACTTCCGTATGTATATCCAATTACACTATTGTGGCTAAAACAATTCCTTCTAACCTCAAGTCAAACTTTACTGGAACATCAGGTTTTATGTTTCCAAATACTGATAACTTCCAACAATTGGAAGTTGGTGAGGTCTTATTTGCTAAAAATTTATCATGACTTTGAGATAGAAGTTACTTCATCAATAAGAGAGGGAGTTACTCAAGATAGTATAAGATCATGAGGGGATTGGTTGTTACCTTATAGGTTATAAGGAGAAGTGTTGACAAACGCAGTCTATAGATTGATGTACTAAGGCTTACAAGTGCCTAGTTTAAACTTTGGATTGGTAATTGTCGCCGCTAAAAGTGAACTTTGAGCGGCGACCTTTTTTGTTACCCCTGAAAGTGAACTTTTAGCAGCGACTTTTTTAGTCGCCGCTGAAAGTTCGCCGCTGAAACTAAGACTTTTAACGGTGACAAAAATATTATCACTGAAAGTAGACTTTCAGTGGTGACTTTTATTGCCACCGCTGAAAGTATACCTTTGAGAATTATTGGGTTCACTTTCAGCGGCAACATTTTGTGGTCGTCGCTGAAAGTAGACTTTCAGCGGCAACTATCAGTGTCGCCGCTGAAGGTCTGACTTTCAGCGGCGACTTTATAATATTTCCGCTAAAAGTGTAATATAATAATATATATTTTATTTTATAATATTAATAAACAAATTCAATCTAACTCAGCAGCAAAAAGATTGGATACAAAAGGAGGTAGTCACGAGTTCGAACCTTGAAGAAGACACATTAAGGTGAAAATATTTGAAGGATGACGAGATGGGAAGGAGTGATGTGGCAATGACGTGGAGGTAGCTAGTGATGATGTGGCAGCCGACGGTGATAATGTGGCAGCCCGCGATGATGACATGGCGGCCGGCGGTGATGACGTAGTGTTGGTAAAGCCAATTCTTCTTAGGCATTACTTTCAGTGGCGACAAGAATGTCGCAGCTGAAAGACACTTTCGGCGGCAACAACTTGAAAAGTCTTTTAGCAGCGACAAAAATGTCACCGCCGAAAGTCTCTTTCAGCAACGACATTCTTGTCGCCACCGAAAGTGTTTTCAGCGGCGACAAATATCACCGCTGAAAGATACTTTCAGCGGTGACCTTTTTAGTTGCTGCTGAAAGTTTTCAGCCACGACTGCTACGGCGACAACTTTTTAGCGGCGACTTTTTGTCGTCGCTGAAAATCAATTTTTTTGTAGTGCTGGGACTGGACGTAAGTCAATGAAGAGGCTGAAAAAGATCACTTATGCATTTTCTCTTATCTCTCTTGGCTTATTATTACAGGGTTTAAGTTTCAAGCTTTTTTTTAAAAAAATTTTTTTGCATCACCCAATTTACTTCTATTTGGGTGAAATGTGCCGCTAACAAATCAAATGAAGACACTTAATTGCAGGGTTAGGCATCTCAAAGAATACTAAAAGAAGCATTGGCCTCATACCAAGTGAAAACTATAGGGATTAAAATTTCAAATGGTTAAAATCATAGGGATAATAAGTCAAAGTGTAGGGAGTTTCAACTGATTTAAAATTATATGATTGAGTTGCACCAAATTAAAATTTAGTATTTCAGTTATAATAAAGTCAGAACTCGAGAAATCAAAGATTAATTTTTCCTCTATGTGTATCTATATATATATAAGGTACATACTACAGCTTGAAATATTTCTTATTAAAGGGTATTTGGATAGAAATTAAACTATGATTTTAAAATTAATTTTACGGTATATGAAATAAATATAAGGATGAGTTTGCCTAGATTTGTAAAAAAATATTTTTTGAAAGCATTTTTCTCTAATGCCAAATACCCCTTAAATTTGAAGAGTCATTGAATATCTATAAATCCAGAGACCATCTTATAGCGAAGGACCGCGCTATGCATGCAAAAACAAGAAGCATCTGACGTGAATGGGCATGAATGGTGCAGTAGAGAATATAAAAGAAGCATCTGACGTGCATGGGCATGAATGTTGCAGTGTGCCTTTTAACCTTCCTTCTTCAATATATTTGTAATTATTAAAAAATGAAGAAAATTGTAATAATTAACTCCATTAGGCTTGGCATCACTTGCTTCTACCAAGGAACCAGACGTATTTTTGACCCTTTATCGCCACCCACTCGAGTTTTGTGAGTACTTTCACTTGTAGCCTTTTGCCTTCTTGTTTTTTTTTTTTTTTTTTAACCTGAGTAGCCTTTTGCCTTTGCATCTTAGTCAACATAGATAATTTCCTTTTTGTCATCCTATTAGTATTTAATACTCCCTCCGGTCCTAAATATAAGACTCATTTTGTAATGTAAATTACGTTATAAAATGGGTTTTATATTTAGGATCGGAGAAGTACTATTTTAGCCGGCAGCATGAATGTAGGCATTTTTTTGTGTGCATTCTTTCAACTTTCTTCATATATTTTATTCGGTTTCATTCCACTTTATTTTTATTATTCTTTCAATACTCTATATTTTAATGCAAA